AGAGTTGACGACATCGTCCTCATTCGTAACTCTCGGATGCTTGAACTCATCTCCGAGTAAAACTAAGAGCTCTTGTGCCGAAAGGGTAAGGAACCTCTCATCTTGTGCGATGTCTGAGAAGTCTGACAAAATTGACGTTGCCATGTCCCATGCTTTCTTCTTCAAGACAGAAAAACCATAAAGGTCGGCCAGGCGCATGACGCCCAGACAGTTGGACGGGCAGAGGTTGTCCTCGATGAACACACGGCAGTACTGCACAATTTTGTCCAACAATAGCATGTGTGCCGTCTGTAGAATGTCCTGAACGTCATCTTTACCGATGCGGATTTTCCCGGTGTACAGGAAGTCCAGGATCTTGGAGAAGCTGTTGGAGTCTATCTCACGCAGCTGTATGACCCCAGAACTACTCTCAGAGAAGTTGGACGACAACATGGTCTCGAAGTACTGCGTGGATGTCAACACAGCCCGGTGACAGGGAAACTCCCTACCATCGACTTGTACCATCACGTCAAGGAATTTCCTAGCCTTTCTCTGGTTGTCAAGTTTAGCAAGATCGGTACGCTCGACCCCATGGAGGTAGTTTGGAAAGAGACGGGAGCCGTCATCCAATTCTATGTAGCTGCTTCTGCTGGATGTAGGGGATAAAGTCGTAGTCCTAAACTGGTCCAATTCATCACAGTCGTCGTAGGGTATAGGGGATAATATAGGGGGTATAGGGAATATAGGTCTTCTTCTTCTCGGGTATATAGGGGGTATAGGGCTATTTTCTAGCAATTCAGCATAGTCGTAGTTAAAGACACTGTGACCGTCATCTGATTCTCTGTTGCTCCTTCTGCGGGCCAGTGTAGGGGTTAACACCCTTGTACTGCCGTGGTACGAGTTATCAAGTGCAGAATCAGTCAAAGTCATAGTACTAACCCGGTATAATTCATCATAGTCGTCGTCTTCACTCGAGGCATCGAACTCATAATCCCAGGACATGACGGTGGTTTACTCAGAATTCTATGAAATCTGCTGGACAGAAATAAACGCATGGAAGTTTTAACATAGCTACAGAGAGACACAATTTTATGACTGAAGTCAGTACGTATGAATGTACAATATATCAAAGTCCATCATCAAGCCTTATAAAATTAGCTAGCCCACCAACCTGCAAATGATTCCAATGTTCAGCCCTGCTTTCGACAGAGAACAGCAGTGTTTTTGGTGTTTGACAATTCTTCACTTCATACACGTCTAAATGCATGGAATGCTTTCAAGATACATATAGCTCGGACAAGAACCGACCGAGACCAGGAAATGTTCCTTTTAGCGTTACAACTTCCGCATAACAGTTTCGGAGCGCGTGGGCTTATGGGTACTCTTTTATGCCTACATTTTTTTTACTTCTTTCAAAAGCAAGCCCAGTTTATGGTAGCATGTGTACTTTGTTTTTGCTATTTTTCAGTTTGTATGTCCTCCCAAGGGAAAGTATGATTCCAAAGAGAAAGAACCGGTAGCACGTACATGTAGACCCTTGTATGCCTCAATGGAGATTGTTATAACGTTAATCATTATAAGGACTACAAATAGACGACTTGGCGCATTTGAATATAGAGCCGGTTTGAACAAGCCAACATTCATAAATACGAGACGATATGATACACTAAACCAAACTAGATGGATTCCTGCAGGTTCATACAGTCTATGAATTTATGCACAAGTTTAATCACATCTTCTAGTAAGTATTTCCCCAATTTTGCAGTCAGCCTGGGGATCAGCCTTTTTTTGTAACGGGGCTTCTCGCACTCGAGCTCGCTACCCTGAAAAAACGGATGTCGGTGCAGCCCTAGTGTTTACTCAGTCGCTCGCTGGCTTGAATTAATTGACACCCCCTCCCCGAATTGTCAGGCGGGCCGGCCGCTAGGAGCGCTACTAAGTCAGGCTACTACATGCGGTATTGACAGCATCAGCATTTCGTCATTGATCTATTTTTTTCTGTTCTTTGATCTTCGAACAATTAATCATTAGCATAGAAAAAATCCAGGTAGATCTCTAAACATCTGGCTTCACAGAGGCGAGTTGTAGTACTCCAGTCATAAGCTCTGGCGAAGGTGTCTGATAGACGAACCGCAAGATGAGAAACGTTACTAGCTATGAAAAAGAAAATTCCAATATCCTATGTTCTACCAACCTGGTGGAACTTTTTTCAGCCGTATAAGGCCATTTTCCCATCTCAAGCTCTCTTGGTGGCCATTATTTGTATACACACTAAAACCATTTGCATATACATCTAAAATGTTATATATCAGTTTTAACATGACTATAGACACAATTATACAACGCAAGTTAGTACGTATGCATGTGCAATACATGCATATCGAAGTACATCATGATTAACATGGCTTATGAAGCTAGCCCACCAACCTGCGAATTGCAATGTTCAGCCCTACTTTCCGCAGAGAACAGTAGTGTTTGTTATTCGACGGTTCTTCACTTCATAGACGTCTCAGTGCATGGAATGCTATCAAGACACATATAGCTCGGACAATATGCAAGGACTGAATGGAGACCAGGAAATGTTCCCTTTAACGTTACAACTTCTGCATAACAGTTTCTGAGAGCGTGGGCTGATGGATACTCTTATATGCTACCATTTTTTTCTCATTTCAAAAGCAAGCCCAGTTTATAGTAGCATGTGTACTTTGTTTTTGCTATTTTTCAGTTTATATGTCCTCCCAAGGGAAAATATGATTCCAACGAGAAAGACCCTTGTATGCCGCAATGGAGATTGTTATGATAACGTTAATCATTATAAGAAGTACAAATAAACCATCGTACTTGGCGCATTCAAATATAGAGCTGGTTTTCACAAGTCAACAAGGAGACACTCATACATGATGATACACTTGACCAAACTTGAATTGCTGCAGGTTCATACACTCTGGATTTTATACATACGTTTGATCACACCTTATACGAAGTTTTAGTAAGTATTTTCCCACAATGGCTGCAGCCCTTAGCCTGGGTGCCACCCGTTTTGTAACGGGGCTCCTTGTACTCGCTACCCTGAAAAATGGCTACAAAATCGGATGACTCCCAGGCTATGCACCCCTGCCTGTGTTTACTCATGTTCAATCTCTCACTAGCTGGGGTTAAAGGATGAAACCCCCAGCCCTCCTGTCAGGCGGGCCGGCCGCTAGGAGCGCTATTTAAACAGGCTATTGCAAGCCCTATATATGTATGAGTTGAGGCTTTGAATTGACACAAATTTGCAGTAGATCGTTCACCTTGGCACAATTCATAGCTCACAAACTGACAGCAAGGACCCTATACCCTCTTCAATATACCCCCATTATTGCTTTGAGGGTACTAGTACCATTATATTCTTTACGCCTTGATTCCAGACAATAGATATACACTGACGACATCAACATTCCGTCTATTGATTTATTTTTCTGTTTATATGTTTTGTTTGTTTGTTTGTTTGTTTTTATTTGTTTACCCAGGGTGTACATATCGCCACTAAGGCGTTTTTCAATGTGCCCTGCATATTCTGAACTTCGAACAAATGATTATTAGCAAAGAAAAAAATCCGGTTAGATCTCTAGCTAAACATCCGGAAATAAGCTATGATTTACAAACAAGAATAGTGGTGGTTATCATAATGGTGGCTACTGTTCAGTTTAAAGGACACCAAGTGGTCCAACTTAGGTTCAGGTTATGTGACCATATATACTTAATAAGGTACTTGCAATAATGAAAAACAATCTAGGATTTGATAAAATACAACTTATGTCTTTTATGATCAGTTACATGTTGGGGACAATATCTTAGAACAGATCCTATTGACAATGTTAATCATAATATACCAGCAGTAATCATTTGGCCTTTACCATTCTTAGCATAAATCCAACATGTCCAGAGCTGTTTGTAAGCACAGGAAACAATAGAATAGTCTTGCCATAGTACCGTGATCTGGTGCTGTAGAGCTCTTTTTTTCACAAAATGCTAGTAGTTCATGTCCACCTAATCTCCGATTAGATCTTGGGGTGGTGATCACATTATCTGATCAACCAGGTTTTCTGGCAGTCCTTCATTCTTGAAATGATGTTATTGATTGTTTGGCTTCTGCCTGTCTCACACACTTAACGTGAATTTGGGGCCAACTCGAGTCACTTAGAGCTCGTAGCTCCAGTAGGCTCACTGAGTGACCCCTGCTCTCGTTTGCCGTCTTTCTCCAGTGCTACAAGGTCCCGGCAGTACCACCCGAGGCGGCTCTTCTTGGTCTGGAGGAAACTGTGGCCGAATAAGGCAAAGGGAAGGGGCGTTTGCTTGGTAGGGATGGAGCGGTCTCCAAACGTCTGCCTTATGGGGATGTGGTGGCCTCCAAACGTCTGCCTTGTGGGGATGTGGTGGCCTCCAAACGTCTGCCTTGTGGGGATGTGGTGGCTTCCAATCGTCTGCCTTCTGCTGTGGTTGTCTCCAAACTTGTAGTAGCTAATGGTATTCACGATGCCCTCGACGTCTTGTCTCAATCGGCTGTGCCTGTACTCGCGCATACATTGCGGGCGAAGAACGTCCTCTTTCCAATCTCCTCCATCACCCTTCGCTAGGGTGTTCTCTTCGACATCGTAGATGTAAAGGTCTGCATACTGGGTATATCCAGTACGGATATTAAGCTTGTTATTGACGGCAGTCGTAAGAATATCCACGTCCTTATATATGGATAGGCTACCGGCACCAGTCTCGATGTCGGTGTACTTCCAATCTTTGGTTTTCACATCAAACGCATGGCAACACAGTTTTCCTTGACTCTTAAGCTTGCTTTGCTGGACATCTGCCCTTTTCTGTATGTCGTTGGAGCGGTCATCGACATCCGTGATCTCTGGCACGATGAATACAACCTTGTTCCCGCAGGCTGTTACCGCCAACTTTGATGAAGGGTGCAATGGCGGGCGCACATGTATGGAATCT